GGGGGGGGAATTCGTTTTAGTTTAATAAAGATATATTTATTTTAATACCTTTAAAATCTAATCTAATAGTTTCATCTGCTTTAAAAATTCATCATGTTCTAATAAAGAATTAAGATCTGATCAACCTTTGCATGAATTTTAGTGTAATGTGCAATGGTGAGTATTGTTGATATTGTGTATAATGGTAATGGCATTTTTCAAATAACTTGGATGATGTAAAAATATTAAAATTAATTATATTTCTAAACTTCACATTGTTAAAAAGTCCCCTTTTTCTTAATTATTATAGACAGAAAGTTAAAGATTTGTCAAATTTCTCTCTTCAGCACTTCAAAACTAAAAGTTTGAGAAAAATGTAATTAGTCAAAAGTGCTGGTAATTGAAAATATATACAATATTAATTTGTAATACATCAAACCCAGAACAAGAAACCAGGATATAAAGACCAGGAGCATGTAAATTCATATACATTCAATGACTGACAGATTAACCCAACAAAACACAAGGGTGTATATACAGAAGGGTAACCAATCAAGGGTAACCAAACACAAATAAAACTACAAAATGACTGCAAAACCAGCAGAAGAAACTGGAAACCAAACAACATAGTCCCAGCACATGGGAAAGGCACAAGAACAGGCACTGCATTTCAACTTTCAGTTGGCTAGTTTCATTCACAGTGCACTGGGAAAGAGATTAAAAGATTTACATTAAAAGAAATGCAAGTGTCTGTCTGAACAGATGCATTAACAGCACAAATTAAAATGCTTATTGCATCAAATATTTGTCTTGGTGTGAACAGACCTTCAGTCAGTTTAAATTCCAATTTAACGATAATTGCTTCAGTTGAGATATTCGTTTAGATTAAAAAAAATAATGCATAACACTTTTGCAGTTAATTGCATTTCTTAGTGGTTTCATACACAGGGTCCACATGAAGCACATGTTAATGCCAGGTGTGAACGGTTATCTGTCTTTCCTGATCACTTGATGTGGCAGTTAATAGAGTGTGAACAGGGTTTGTTGCAAATACAGGGCATTAACCCTACACATTTACACGTATGCACCACATCACACACACCGAGGTGTTTTTCAACCTCATTTTTCTGAATGTGCTGTTGCTAAACAACCCATGACCCGGGGCTTTGGGTGGGATAGTCTTGTGGTTTTCCCACATGTTTCGCTTTATATTTTTACTTCTTTCAGCTAAAATGGACCACAGTATATGGTTTTAGTTCAGCAGGATATGAGTCATAAAACTTAAGAGGCTCATTTGTGTTAATTTCTTGGTATTGTTTTATGGGCCACAGTCTTTGTTTGGGCAAGTTTCATGCTTGTGGTCTTCCAGCATCTGATAAAATGGTTATAAAGCATGAAGGGACATTCCCAAAAGTTTCCCTACATTGCCTTTCAAAACCCTGTAAAGAGTGCTGATGAATTTGAGAATGAATATTCTGGCGAATGCAGGTTGTCGTCTTTATTTCCTTACAGGAAAGATTCTCTTCAGAAGAAGCCACATCAGAGACGTGGCCATGAAACGCCTGAACCCCATAAACGAGTACTGTAGGGTAAGTTAGAAAACAAACAGTACACACAACAACCATCTCACCTGTCGCTAGCATCAATTTTACACAGCAAAATGAACACTGTTCAATATTTTTATTTACAATATTTCAAAACACAGCCCATGCTGTAGAAGTCACCCTAAATAAACATCTGTTCATCCTTTACTCATGTCACCCCCAGCGCTTATGACTGTTTTTGTTCCGTTAAACACAAAAGGAGAAATTTAGCAGAATGTCCAAGCTGCTCTTTTCCAGTAGAAAAGGACACAAAGCACCATAAATGTGGTTCAGTAGTCTGCTGTAGCTCTCAAATCTCATGTAAGTGCAATATATGGAGGTGTTGTACAAGATTTGACATCAAACAGCATAAATATTCACGTCTCGTAACTAAACTTTGAATATGTGAAAGTGAAGATTATATTTGAGAGCTTATCTACAGTGAATGGGGAGATTTTTAGTGAATAAAAAGAGAAAAGAGGAAAAACCTAAGAGTTATTGGATAAATTGTCTTTGTTGTCCATTATATATTGATCTACATCACCGTTCAAAAGTTTGGGGTCAGTACAATTTGTTTTTTTAAATACTTATTTTCACAGGGGCTGCCAGCAATATTATGAAATATTATTACAATTTAAAATAAATGTTTTGTATTTTAATACATTTTAAAAGTGCAGTATGTAATATTGGACAGCTAGTGGGTACTGCAGTCCAAATTCAAATTATTAGAAAACGTTGTTTCTCCGACCTTCTTCTCGGGCTTGACGCTCAAACGGGTTGCCAGATTGAGGAAATGCAACAGGAACGAGAGCAATTGACAATGTTAGGTGACGAGCCTTACAATGTAAGCTGATGAGTTGATTTATCCATGTTTTAATAAGCCTCTGGACTTTTTTGATGGATGCCGAGGCTTTTTAGGTCGGGCAGAATCTGTCATTTCTGACCCAGGTCATTTGCTGGCTTCCATGGCTGCAGTATGCTGTGTTTTCCACCAACTGGCAACCTGGCCTGTCAAATACTATTGGATAAACTGGCAGTGGGCGGAGTCACACAGACCAAAACAACAACAGACATTCCGACACGGAACGCACATTTCAAAGCAGAATAACTGTTGTTTTCCAGAGAAACGAGTTATGTGAACTTTGTCTGTTTCCTAAATACATGTTGTATTTTTATGCTTTAGTAGAGTCAAATTTATTTCTGTGATCAAAGCTGAATTTTCAGCGTCATTAGTCCAGTCTTCTGTGTCACATGATCCTTCCGAAATCATTCTAATATGCTGATTTGCTGCTTAAGAAACATTTATATTATTGATTTTTATTATCAAAGTTAAAAAAAATGTGTGCCGCTTAATGAAATGTGTAAGCCTCAATACAGTGTCATGTTTCAGGATTCTTCGATGAACAAAACGTTAGCAAGAACAGCATTTTTTTCTGAAATAGGAATATTTTGTAACATTTAAAAAGTCCTTTCTGTCGTTTTTGATATATTGAATGCAACCTTGCTGAATAAAATATCAATATCTTAAAAAATTCCAAACTTTGAAATGGTAATGTACATCTTAGCATTCAGCAAACTCACCTTTTATAAGAACTTCATAGAGATTTTTCAGAGTGGTAAGCAGGAAGCAGAAGTAGGTTAACTTCAGAGAGATCATGTATAAATTCTACTGCTTCAAGCCAGATTTTCTATGGTGGTCTGCACTGTGAATTGAATTTGCTTAATAAAAAAGACTGTTCTGTCTTATGTAACTGTCAGGCTTTTGGTGGAAGGGTTAAGAGGGGAAAAAAGCCAGGAATCTGCATTTGGCAGCGTAATGTCTGCTTTAGGGCTGGGGTTTGGAGCTGCGCTGAGTTAGCCTTCGTCAGCACATCATGGCTTTTTGTTGACTTTTTAAAGGGATGTTTCTAAAGGAAACTGCTTTTCAAAATGTTTCTTCAAGTGTTTTTTTTTTTTTTTTGAGGGTGCCTATGTGAGCGGTCACGATCTGTGAAGGAGGATTTCAACTCTTTTGACTCTAGCATTCTCCAAAAACAAGGTCTAAAGGTCATAATTCAGTTCCAGTAATTAAAAGCCCTCCTCACTTCCCAGACACCTACTGTAAACAAGCTGTGTCGTCATCAGCTGATGAATCAGTGCTGTCGCGTGTTGCTTAGAAGAAGTGATGCCTACACTGGATGTGCAAACACCTCCTTGAAAATGCTTGTTTTAAATAACATCAGTTAATTGTTTCACAGTGTTTCCTGTTTAGTGCTCCTAAATATACAGAATGACAGCAAAAACATAAATGTATATGTAAACTATATAAACATAGTTAAACCACTGCAGTGTGATTCTTTTGGACAGACGTTTGGACCCCAAATAACTGATTCCAGTGGCTTGTTTTGATCAGTTACTTTCAGTATAGCCTTTATAATTCAAACTGAAGGAACAAATGTGCAAATTTCTCTTGAGTTGCATTCAAAATTGCATACTGAGTAGTATGGATGCTTGTTTCCACCATTGAATAAAACCAAAAAAGATAATTGCGACTTTTTATCTCACAATTCTGAATTTTTTTCTCAGAATTGCATGATAAATACTTACAATCGCGTGTTACAATGTCAGAATTATGTGGTTATATACTTGGAATCGCGTGTTACGATGTCAGAATTGTGTGGTTATATACTTGGAATCGCGTGTTACGATGTCAGAATTGTGTGGTTATATACTTGGAATCGCGTGTTACGATGTCAGAATTGTGTGGTTATATACTTGGAATCGCGTGTTACGATGTCAGAATTGTGTGGTTATATACTTGGAATCGCGTGTTACGATGTCAGAATTGTGTGGTTATATACTTGGAATCGCGTGTTACGATGTCAGAATTGTGTGGTTATATACTTGGAATCGCGTGTTACGATGTCAGAATTGTGTGGTTATATACTTGGAATCGCGTGTTACGATGTCAGAATTGTGTGGTTATATACTTGGAATCGCGTGTTACAATGTCAGAATTGTGTGGTTATATACTTGGAATCGCGTGTTACAATGTCAGAATTGTGTGGTTATATACTTGGAATCGCGTGTTACAATGTCAGAATTGTGTGGTTATATACTTGGAATCGCGTGTTACAATGTCAGAATTGTGTGGTTATATACTTGGAATCGCGTGTTACAATGTCAGAATTGTGTGGTTATATACTTGGAATCGCGTGTTACAATGTCAGAATTGTGTGGTTATATACTTGGAATAGCGTGTTACAAAACAAACAAAGATCATATAATTTTGACATTATAACTCTCAATTGCAAGTTTATATCTCACAATTCTGAGAAAAGAGAAAAAAGTCAGAGATAAGAAGTTGCAGTTACCTTTTATATTTTTTTACTTTTACCCCATGGCTGAAATTGGCTTCCATAGAGTAGATACAATATTTGAATAAGAATTTGAATGCAATGAATTCAGACATACTAGTCTTTTCACACATTGCTTTTCGTCTGCTATATATTTAAAAAGTAGGCATATTTGGATGCAGGCTTTATCTTTTCAGTCCAGTTGCTAACCGATTATTAAGGTAAGTTGCCAGATAATATCAAAATTCTGTATAGTAAAATAGATATTATTGCTTTTCAAAATAAAAAGCACTATAACAGGGAGACACAATATAATATTCAATGTATCATTCACACAGACGCATCCATGAGGTCTAAAGAGGACTAGAATCTGCAGGGCGATCTTTCATGATGCACAATCCATTGATTTTCACTGAGCGAGCGTTGCTGATTTATGGCGGGTCATTGATGATGTCATGCAGACAGTGGAGGTCATGTGATCCACCTCCTGATACAGTTACAGTCGGCAGTCATGTGCATTAACAGCAGTGAGTTAATAAGCATCAGCTGACCTGTTTACTCTTTAAATGCTGGAGCAGATCTATATTAATTGAGGTGAAAGGTCAGAAATGCCATTTAAGATATTTGTTTTGTTGGGTAAATGGAAACCAGTAGTACTCCAGAGGTTGTTTTGGCTTGAAAACAAGGCATATTAGCAATTGCTTTTTTGAAAATCTGAATTTTATTTATAAGAGTGAACACGTTATACACAAATACAACGTGCTGAACCTGTCCTTCAGACTTTACACATCTCTCATGTTGGTCAGACTGCCAAAAAAAAAAAAGTTAAAAAATATTTATTTTAAATAATTTAGTTGGTTTTGCATGAAAATAACCATTTAGCCCTGTAAAGCCTGACGAATTAAAAAAATCATAATCAAATTAAATGGACCAGTTTATTGAACAAACAAACACACATACGTACGTACATAAATAATTTGAATGTTTTGTTTTTTTTTTTTTGTTCTGGAGTATAAATTTGATTTTTTTGAGAGAAATTTGGCTTCATGGCTCATGATACAGAAAAATATGGAGCTCATACTCGATATGACTCGTGACTCGATATCTCCCAATAATATGTATACTACACTATACTTACAGTAATATAGAAAGATGATATTTAAATGCTTAGTTTTATTATCAAATATCTGTTTTTATTGTGGGGGCAAAATATATAATGCAGTACAATATAATGCAATGATGACTGAAAGATGAACAAATAAACGTTCCTCAAAAGAAAAATGAATTATGAATAATCAAGTAAATTGTGGGGAAAAAGTTATTGTTACCTTATTATCTTACATATTCACGGTTAATTAAGAGTTTTCCCTCGATACATTCTTAATTTATTTATAGTAAGATAGTTGTTGTAATAGTTATGTTTAGGTATTGGGTTGGGCTAAGGGATCTAGAATATAATCATGCATTAATATCTGCTTTATAAGTACTAATAAACAGTCACTATGCTAGTAATGCAATGAACAGTGTTGCCTAATCTAAAATGTTACCCATTTACTTTCTGACGTGTACCACAACCTCAAGAATTACTCTAAAAGGTGTTTAACTTTTTTGCTTAAAAGTATGAACCATCAATCAGACGGCAAGTCTTTCAAAGTGTTGATAATTTATAGACTTGTATCAAATATAATAGGATTAAACTTCAAAGATACAACTGGATGCCACTCGCAGAATTTGGTGTTATTTAAATAGTACAGTATATAATGTATTAGTGAAACAATAACCTGTTCTTTTATGAACCTGCATGCACTTCTGTGGCGATATAGACGAGCATTCATCTCCTTCTCTCTGTCTCTCCTGCGTACACGCACATAAAACAATCAAGGTAATGCACTCACCCAATAGAGTGCATTTACTATAATTGGCCTCCATATAGCAGTGTCTTCAGGGAATGCTAATAAACGCGAGGAGAGGTCAGGCACTGAACCCTGGGGAGGCATCAATCCGTGGTATCCATGGAAACCGACACGAATAAGATCCATATCCATCCAATCTTCATGCAAACAAAAGCTGAGAGGTAGCCCAGTCATCAGCCTCGTCCCGTATCGTTTCTGCCATTCAAAACACCCTTTTCATTGAGAAAATTGAGCGGTGGGCAAATGTGCGATTGCAAGAGTAATTGGCGAGTCAATTGTGAAAAATTGGCTCTGTTTAAAAGCCGGGTTAGAAAAGGGCAGCTTGAGCAGATGCGTTCGAGTGAGAATTTTAAAATTCCAGTCAGGTCAGCCGTCATAACTCAGAAGGGACGTCCGTCTGAAGGACACCGAAGCAGCACTCAGCTTTATTAAATTAAAGCTCCTCTGCCAAAATATACAATGGCAAAAAGCATCTTCTGCTTCAGCCAGGAGGCACATGCAGCTTTATTAGATGTGGGACTGGATCTGAAGTGCAGTTGATAAAGCAGAAACAGCTTGCCATCAATGCTGAGTAAAACAGACAGCCTCATGTCATGCCCTGATATGAAAAGCACAGCATTGAGATTCACAGCATGACATCCGTGATTATGCATTGAATAAAAACAAAAGAAATGCATGACTTCCAGTTGCTGTTTAGTGTAAATGTGTCTCTGTTTTTATGTGACTTTTGCATGCTATGCTATAGTATAAAGAAAGCATTTAGGCGGTAAAAGTATGTTTTTTATATATTTGTGTAGAAGATTATAATCTAAACAACTACTTATGGTTTGCTTCATAATTTTTTCAGAAATTGAATGACTGACTTATCAACAGCTTACACTTCTGAATGTGTCACATTAGCGAGTAATTATGTATATTTTCCCCTCAGGCCCTGATTCAGCTGCCAGTGTATATTTCTCAATGCGAGGAGGTTCGTGTGTTCTTTGAGACGCGTCCTGAAGACTTGAACCCACCAAAAGAGTACGTTTACACTCCGTGCAATACACACACACACACGTATTCAAAATCAGTCAAAGTGACACTTAAGAGAACTTAATGAGCCTTCATTTATATTGAGGGGTTGATTAATAAATGAAATAAATCAGAATAAATAGCCACTAGCCTTTACAGCTCACCAAATCAACAATTAGCATTTTTTTTAAATGAATAATCTTGTCTTGTATAAACACCGATTTATACTGTGTGATTAAAATAATAATAATAATAATTATTATTAAATGCAATATCCTCCTGAGAACCAGAAATAAAAAGCCTTGTGAATTTAGTATTTTTTCATGTCATTACATTGTTTAGAGCATAAGAAATAATAACACATTTGCTTGAAATAAAATAAACATTAACTGAAATTAAATATTAAAAAAACATTGAACTTTTTTCAGCTAGTTGCCAAAAAAATTCTCATTTTCATTTGAAGTACTAAAATAACAAAAAAACAAAACAATAACAACAAAAACCTATATAGACATATGCAAGAAAAAAAAGTAAAGAATAAAAAATAAAAATGACACTAATTACTAAAACTTTAACTAAAAAAAAAATAATAAAAAAAATCAAAATATTAATAATTAATTAATACATGATACTGAAATAACACATAATAGTAGTGTGTCGTGGTTCTAAAACTGTCTTTACATTAAGAAAAAAAATAGAACATGAATGTCTAACTTGCATATCTTCATTTACAGGGAACCCAGTGGAAAAAAGAAATCAGGTAAGGAGATGATCTTTGTGAGAAAGTGCCATGCACACAGAAAAAAAGGGGTTTAAAATTGTACCTTTTGGGGTACAACAGCTTGTCCCTGGAGCAGTACCCTTAAAAGGACATATTTGTACCTTTTTTTTACCCCTAATAGGTACATATTAGTACCTTAGTACTTAATACATACCCTTAAGGTACTAATATGTACCTATTAGGGGTAAAAAAGTTACAAATATGTGACCCGGGAGTCTTAAGTCGCTGGCGTATATTTGTAGCAATAGCCAACAATACATTGTATGGCTCAAAATTATTGATTTTTCTTTTATGCCAAAAATCATTAGGATATTAAGTAAAGATCATGTTCCATGAAGATATTTTGTAAGTTTCCTACCGTAAATATATCAAAACTTAATTTTTGATTAGTAATATGCATTGCTAAGAACTTCATTTGGACAACTTTAAAGATGATTTTCTCAATATTTAGATTTTTTTTGCACCCTCAGATTCTAGATTTTAAAATAGTTGTATCTCGGCCAAATATTGTCCTATCCTAGCAAACCATACATCAATGGAAAGCTTGTTTATTCAGCTTTCAGATGATGTATACATCTCAATTTCGACAAAAATGACCCTTTTGCCTGGTTTTGTGCTCCAGGGTCACATGTCCTTTTAAGAGTACTGCTCCAGGGACAAGCTGTTGTACCCCAAAAGGTACAATTCTGGCCCCTTATTTTTCTGTGTGTGCGCCTAAGTTGGATTTGAGAAAGTAATTGACTGATTAGTGTGCCCTCTGCTGACCGTGCACTTCATAAATGCTTCATTTGAGCTACACAACATGCAGCTTGCACCCTTTACTGTGGATGCTTTCATTCCTTTGTGACCTGAACCTTTCCCACCTTCGCCCTCACTCCTGCTCTCATTCATGTTCCCTCATCAGGCATTGTGGAGCGAGCGACTTCTTTCCTAAAGAGAGGTAGTAACAGATACTTGCTTAGCCATGCTCTGTGTGTGTGAGCCCTCGAAGTGCGGCGTTTCTTAGGTGGGCAAGGGCTAAGCTTTGTGCTCTGTTCCTGTGTGATGTGCATGGCGGTGTGGTGGTGGTTTACTGGAGGACCTTTAACTGATAGTTTAGCAACTAGTATGTATGGTAATAGTTATAGTGTTCCTGTATAGTAGCAGCGCTTTAGCAGTAAAGCAGCAGTTAATGCTTACTTTTTCTTCACAAGGTAAAAGGGAGCAGCACCTACACCAATTGGACACACATGCATTCAAAAACTAATTTGCATAATTTGACATGCTTTGTGAGATGCAAAGTAGTGATTCTATTTAGTACTGCAATGTTTAAAAAAAAAAAAATTGTAGTGCATGACTGGTGTTTTCTGTGCTCTTATGAATTAATTGTGCTCTCTTCAACCTTGTGATTAAAATGTTCATCAGGGCTCGGAGATTTTTATAATAATTTCTGTGATTTATTTAGTCATTAAAAATTGTAAATGCTTTAGACGATGTGCAGCTTTTGTGTTGAATTCAATAGAAATTACTTTATCTGTGAATGGTTTCAAAATAATAAGGAATTTTGTCTGTAGTAAACAGGATGCTTTAGATTGCATTTTCATTTACTCACCTCTATGTTGTTCCTTCTTTCTTTCTTCTATTCTACAGAAAATGAGAAATTTCAAACAGTGGTCATGCATATGAAGTTATTATACTGGGACTAGTAGTTGTCTACTAAGTCTATCTACTTCATCTTTGGACCACAAATGAAGATTTTTTATTTTTTATGAAACCTGTGAGATTTCTGGCCTTTCATTGACTTCACTGATTCAAAAAGTTAATAAAAATGTCTTCCGAAGAGACAAGAACAGATTTAATAAAAAAATGTATTCTCGTATAAACATTGACCTATGCATATACACAGTGCTCATAAAATATGGTAAACAGAAGCTCAAACATGCAAGTACTCACATTTGAGCTCTTCTGAATATTAATTTTGTGATGTTTTTATGAACTTTTTGAATAGTCAAAGTGTTGGTCGCGTGGACTTTCAACGGAGGGACGGAAGTTTCTCTGGTGTCATCAAAAATATCTTCATTTGTGTTTTGAGGATGAAGTCTTTTGGGTTTGTGAGAAAGTGATATTTCACCCAAAAAGGAAATGCTCTTATCATTTAAAGTTGTAAACATACACCTATAAAATGTGCATATAAGATGTTCTTGAGAGAACTTCATGAAATCATTCACAGAAATGGGCAAATCAGTATCTGCTTCAATGATTTTGTACGAATCACCAAATTAATCTTCATGCACTGCGCTGGTGTTCTTCGCACCGTGAATGATATTGTTTTGGGCTCTAGTAAATGTGCTTTGCAGAATAATCAAGACATTTATAATTTTTTTGTCTAGAAAGCCGTTAAAAATAAGCAATTTAATCATTATCCCACTCTGTTCCATGTTAGCGGTGTTGCTGATTTGGTGTGGGTTTGTTTCATTGCAAGACTCTCAGCACTAAACCCTCGGGCTTTCCAGCTTTGATCTTTTCCGATCACGTTTGCTTCTTTCTTGTCTTGTGGTGGTGCTGGGACACCTGCAGGAGGAGACTCTTCCTCAGCGGACCCGCTGCTGCTGGAGCAGTACGTGGCTGTCACCGACTACGAGCAGCAGGAGAGCTCTGAGATCAGTCTGTACGTGGGGCAGGTGGTGGAGGTCATCGAGAAGAACGAGTCTGGTAGGGCCTTCGCTATTATTGTCTGTCGTGCAATTCATTCATCCAAACCTGTTAAGTCAGCGGCATATATAAAGTCAGAATTGCAGGATATAAACGTGCAATTCTGACTTCTTTCTCACAATTGCGAGTTTATATCTCACAATTCTGACTCTTTCTCGCAACTGTGTTTGTATCTCGCAATTCTGAATTTTTTTCTCACATTTATGAGTTTGTATCCCACAATTCTGAATTTTTTTTTCTTAGAATTGTGAGATTTAAACTTATGAATTGCGAGTTATAGAGTCCAATTATGAGGGGGAAAAGACTGATTTTCTTACAATTGCGAGTTTATATCTTGCAATTCTGGATTTTTTTTCTCACATTTGTGAGTTTATAAATTGCAATTCTGAATTTTTTCTCACATTTGTGAGTTTATATCTTGCAATTCTGGATTTTTTTTCTCACATTTGTGAGTTTATAAATTGCAATTCTGAATTTTTTCTCACATTTGTGAGTTTATATCTCACAATTTTGACTTCTTTCTCACATTTGCAAGTTTATAAATTGCAATTCTGAATTTTTTCTCACATTTGTGAGTTTATATCTTGCAATTCTGGATTTTTTTTCTCACATTTGTGAATTTATACATTGCAATTCTGATTTTTTTTCTCACATTTGTGAGTTTATAAATTGCAATTCTGAATTTTTTTCTCACATTTGTGAGTTTATAAATTTGCAATTCTCACAGAACACACACATATTATGCAAACAAAAACTTTTATCTTGTATGCAATTAATCACGATTAATCATTTGACAGCACTATTGTGAGATTTAAACTCATAGTTATAGCGTCCAATTCTGAGGGGAAAAAAGACAGATTTTCTTACAATTGGGAGTTGATATCTTACAATTCTGACTTGACTCACAATTGCATGTTATGAAGTCAGAATTGTGAGATATAAACTCGCAGTTCTGAGGAAAAACAGAATTGTGAGCGAAAAGCTGCAATTACCCTTTTTTATTTATTTAATTGCTCACTCGTAAAGACAGTCACTTGTCGCCACCTACTGGCGAAATGATGCAAGTTGCATTGAAGTCACTGAAACATGCAAACACAGACAAGCGGAGACATACAAATGGTGAAAAGTCCCAGTGCTTTTTATTTTCATCTGTCAGTCAACTTATATTTTATGTATATGTTTTATGAATCATTTTGTGATTGAATTGAAGGCTACCAGGAAAGCTAATTATTAGTTTATTAATTTAATTCATAATATGTGCAAAAACAGCTCTGTTAATGTTTCTTCTCTCATCATATTGACAATTACCAATTAAGCGAATCACAATAAATTAGACAAAGGTTAGTTTGCATCCCTGATTATACAGTATCTGTCAGTTGTTTAATATTTACACATCATGCATTATCTATTATATATTAAATGTTAAGTTCAGTTGCTTTATGGCCATCAACTGAAGCAGCCTCTGAACAGTAAGGCCCACCTACTTTGATTTGATTGTTCATCTCAAACAGTTTGACACTGAAAAAGCACCAAAGTATAGTTAATATTAAGCAATTCTTTCACATTTTGTATTATATAGAGTATATACCTTGGGAAAAATATGAGGCCCAGACCTCAGGGAGCTCAGCGGTGGTTCAGTCATGGTTAAGTGCTGTTAAATTAATTGCTCAGCCTAAAATGAATGTTCTGTCATCATTACTCACCCTCTGATTTGCCAGGTTGGTGGTTTGTCAGCACTGAGGACGCTCAGGGTTGGGTACCAGCCACATGTCTGGAGGCTCAGGATGACCCTGATGATTTCTCACTCCCGGCAGAAGAAGGTAGAGTCCTGCTTGTCATCAAATGTTCCTCATTATCAGTCTTACTGGAATCAGATGTCTGCAACAACAAAAAACCTCCTGTTTATTCAGATTTGGGATCTCGACAGGTGAAGTGTGTAATTTTTTTGAATGCTCATTCCTAGTTTAATATCCAGAAACTATAAGAATGACAACTAGAAGTACGTTATTCATGGGTTGTCAAGAGTTAAAACTTTTTGTGGCACTTTCACAACATTTCTCCCATTAGCGGCGCTTCAAGGTTTGGAAATACAACTTCCAACATATTTCCATTAGTTCTTTTTACAAACAATAGAAAATGGACATAGCTTTTACTGTACCTTCTGATCACACTGCAAAGAGTGATGTTCTCCCTCAGTATTTGTCTTGTTTTTCAACGCAAATGTCTAAAGATTATTAAATCAAGATGCATTGACTTGAGAAGCAATGAGATAAGTCTTGTTTTCTGTGAAACTAATCAAAATGAAAGTGAGTTTATGATTGAAAGTGGAACAAATATCTGCTAATAAGCTCAGAAAATCAGTTTAATTACTTGAGTTTAAAATTCAGTCCCATGTCCTGTACACTTGCATTATATGAAGAAATCAGAATCAGAAAGAGCTTTATTGCCAAGTATGTTTGCACATACAAGGAATTTGTTATAGTGTCACAAGCTTCCAGTGCACGGAGACAACAACAACACACAGATAATAAAAATGAGATGTGAATAAAATACACATGCATAAATATAAACCACAAAAAAAGAATAAATTGTATGAATTCTGAATTTCTCACATTTGTGAGTTTATATCTCACAATTCTGACTTTTTTTTTCTTAGAATTGTGAGATTTAAACGTATGAATTGCGAGTTATAGAGTCCAATTATGGGGGAAAAGACTGAGTTTCTTACAATTGCGAGTTTATATCTTGCAATTCTGGATTTTTTTTCTCACATTTGTGAGTTTATATCTTGCAATTCTGGATTTTTTTTCTCACATTTGTGAGTTTATAATTTGCAATTCTGAATTTTTTTCTCACATTTGTGAGTTTATAAATTGCAATTCTGAATTTCTCACATTTGTGAGTTTATATCTCACAATTCTGACTTTTTTTTTCTTAGAATTGTGAGATTCTATAGATGGAATAGGAATAGAATAAAATAAAATAAGTTGTAGGGACGTACTAGGGTTTAGGGTGATAAATAAGTATAAGGTTATTGCGCATACTGTACTTTAATTGCACAATGGGAGAACATTAACTGTTCATGAGGTAGATTGCCTGGGTAAAGAAACTGTTCTTGTGCCTGAATTCTGGATTTTTTTTCTCACATTTGTGAGTTTATAATTTGCAATTCTGAATTTTTTTCTCACATTTGTGAGTTTATAAATTGTAATTCTGAAATTTTTTCTCACGTTTGTGAGTTTATAAATTGCAATTCTGAATTTCTCACATTTGTGAGTTTATATCTCACAATTCTGAAATTTTTTTCTTAGAATTGTGAGATTTAAACTCATAAAATATGAGTTATAGAGTCCAATTATGAGGGGGAAAAAAAGACAGATTTTCTTATAGCGAGTTTATATCTCAAAATTTTGACTTCTTTCTCGCAATTGTTTATATCTCACCATTCTGATTTTTTTCTTAATTTATACTCCAATTGCGAGTCCAATTCTGAGGGGAAATTTACTCACAATTGTGTTTATATCTTGCAATTCTAACTTTTTTCTTAGAATTGTGAGAGAGTGCTGTCAAACGATTAATCGTGATTAATCATATCCAAAATAAAAGTTTTTGCTTACATAATATATGTATGTGTGCTGTATATATTTATTAGGTATATATAAATACACACACACATGCATATATACGCGGTCCGCTCTGAACAGCTGCAATCCCGGCAGACTCAACGCGCTGTCCAGAATGGCGTCATTCAGCCAGGTTTCCGTGAAACACGGAGCAGCAGAGTGAGAAAATCCTTATTTTTCCGGGAGAGCAGAAGTTCGTCCGTTTTGTTGGGTAGAGAGCGGAGATTCGCCATATGGATGCTCGGCAACGGCGTTCTGAATCCGCGCTGCCTGAGCTTCACGAGCACGCCGGCTCGCTTCCCCCGTCTGCGCGTCCTGAAGCGCTTGATCAGCGCAGCAGCTCCGCCGACTACAACGTTCAGCAAAACGTCCGAATAAACGAAATCCAGTAGAAGATTGTGTGGTGTGTTCTGCCGAATGTTTAGCAGCTCATCCCTGGTAAAACTGATCGTGTTTGAGAAACAAAAAACAGGAAAAACTAACAAAAACAATACAAACACTGAGGCTGCCGTCTGTGGCGCCATTGCATCGAAAACTGAAACATTTTTGGGTGAAAAATTTACAGTGAACCTTGCTGAGCCGTAAAGACTCGAAGAGTCAATTGGGTGAAAACACCATGCGGAAAACCATGCAGAACATTTTTTTTAACAGCCTGACAGCACCCTAGCATCACATAAGTACAAATAAGCTTGATTTTTGCAGTTCTGTTTAGTAGCACAAAAATTGCACACTTCACCAGAGGTTTTAGAAATACAGTCTTACTCCGATGTTACTTAGAAAGAAAGTTGAGAAGGTTACAGTTATTCTCAGTTCTTCAAATGCGAGTGCAGTCTTTAGGTCAGTTCTGCACTATATGGCAAAGAGTAGATATTTGGTAGGCCAGCATATCCAGTATGAAGAGTCATGACCTGAAGGTTTTCACATGTGTCTGCTTGCTCTCTGCTGGAGTGTGCCGGAGATTCTGGTCACTGCCGAGGCACGTTGGTCGCCGGCGTACTTTAGGGGATCTGTTCAGCACAGGCTTTGGCCAAGGTGGAGAGCACAGCACTTTATCACTCTATTGTGACGCATGCATTTGTGACCCCTGCATGCGGTGCATGCGCTGCAACCTGTAAGTCTTGTACAACTGACCACAGCACGAATCGGGGAATTGTAACACTGGTGCCATTTTTTTTTAAACAACACTTTCATTTTACTTTTAATTTCTGGTTTGCTAGAGGAATTGCCGAAGCACATGAAATGCCCCTGTGAATTACATGGTGTTGACTGATGCATGACTGATCATGAAAACTCTGTAAATATACTGTAAATGTCAAACAATCAAACACAATCACAATTTAATCAGATTAAAGGGATTGTTCACCCAAAAATGAACATTTGCTGTTAATTTCTGGCCATCCAAGATGACTTTTCTCAAGTAGAACAATAAAGAAGATTTTTAGTTAAAACCGAGCTCCTTGGTGATTCATGGATTTAATGTAAATAATGTTTAGTTTCTTGCACAGACCAATCGTTTTGCTTCATTAGACCTGAATATATCATCAGGAGCCACGGGGATTCATTTTGTGTTCCTTAGTATGCTTTTTTTTATTCTCAAAGACAGGTAGCCATTGACTTCATTTGACTTGATTTCAGCTAAAAATCTAGTTTTTTAGCTGAAATCAACTTGAAAAAAAACTGTTTTATTTGCTGCACCCGGTGGGCTGTAAACTGCAATGCAGTACTAAATGACTCAACCCAGTTTCCAAAAAAGGTCTTGGGTAACACTTTATAATAACTTTCATTAATAATATTCGTGAAATAATATTGCAATATTTCTCAATAAAAAAATCTTACTTTTGCCCAAACATGTTAGGGATGTCCATTTCCTTAAGTCCTAATATTAAACTTCAACATGTAATTCAAACTGATGCATTATATCATATGTGGCCCTGCAGCACAAAAGCAGTCTTAAGTCGCTGGGGTATATTTGTAGCAATAGCCAACAATACATTGTATAGGTCAAAATTATCGATTTTTCTTTTATGCCAAAAATCATTAGGATATTAAGTAAAGATCATGTTCCATGAAGATATTTAGTAAATTTCCTACTGTACATATATCAAAACCTAATTTTTGATTAGTAATATGCATTGCTAAGAACTTCATTTGGTCAAATTTAAAGGCGATTTTCTCAATATTTAGATTTTTTTGCACCCTCAGATTCCAGATTTTCAAATAGTTGTATCTCGGCCAAATATTGTCCTATACTAACAAACCATACATCAATGGAAAGCTTATTTATTCAGGTCAATTAAAAAAAAATTTACCCTTATGACTAGTTTTGTGGTCCAGGGTCACATATAGCTTTTTGAGTCTAGTATTATGTTAATCAAATCAGAAATAAATTTGAATGACCCATACATTCACACAGTTTCACTCTGTGATTATTTCGTTCCGTTTTGTAAAGTACGACCAAAATATATGAGATCACAGATAGGAAGTAAGTATGAAAAGCTGTGGAGAAATACAAAAATAAAATAATGTTCATGTGAATTACTTTGTTGATTGATGCATGACTTGTCATGAAAACGCTGTACTTATAAATGTCAAACACAATCACAATTTAAACAAACTAAAGGGATAGTTTACCCAAAAATGAACATTTGCTGTTAATTTACTCACCCTCAGGCCATCCTAGATGTAGGTGACTTTCTTTAGTAGAACAGTAAAGAACATTTTTAGCTAAATCAGTGGTCCTTGGTGATTCATAAAATCCGAGTCAGTGGCGGTCGATCTTTGAGAAAATAAAAAACATACAGGCAACACAAAATTAATTACCCGACGATATAAAATTATTACTGTACCTGACGATATATTGAGGTGTATAGCGAAGCGAAACAATCAGTCTGTGCAAGAAACTGAACATTATTTACAACATTATTACCTGTAATCCAGAGCCTCAGGCAAACAGGGAAAGCCTATTCTTTTCTGCGAACTGATTCTTTTGGACAGTTTGTTTCAATTAACTGGTTTAAATCACCAGTTTGTTTACATAATCACGCAAGGACATTCACAGAACGGATTTGGGTTACGCCTCATAATAACTTTCATTAATAATATTCATGAAATAATATTACCATATTACTCAATACATAATATTACTTTTGCTCATACATGTTAGGGGATGTTCATATCCTTAAGTCCAAATATTAAACTTTGACATGTAGCTCAAATTAATAGCTTATAACATATAGTTTGTTGACTCTAGTATTACAGTGTTAATTATATCAGAAATAAATCGGAATGACCCATACATTCACACAGTTTCACTCTGCATTTATTTTGTTCTGTTTTGTACAGTACGACCAAAATATATGAGATCACAGATAGATAGAAAGTAAGTATGAAAAGCTGTGAAGAAATAAATAAATAAATAAATATTGTTCAAACTAAAGTTTTCATCTGGCATAGAACTGAATCCATAATTAGAGGTAAGCATTTGAACTATCAAACTTGGTGTGCTCATGCCATGTTTAGATTGTGATTTTGTTGGTAGCATGTGAAAACAATCATTCTTCCCAGCAGATGTGCTTATGCTGTCAATACTTTGAGTCTCTGATTAGATCCGCCCCACCCCTCCTTCATCTGTTATTCATCAGAAAACTCAAAACAGAAAGAGAAAATGCAGATTACAAGCAGCCAATTACTGTAAAATAAAAGTAAAGTGAAAAACGTTAAACTACATCAAATTTACCACTGCATGTTTTGAACTATTTTGGCAAAACAATGAAAGCATTATAAGCTCAATGAATCTTCTAAATAAATTCATGGATGTAATTTTTTTTTTCAAGCAATTGGACACTTTCTGGTTGTCGAGCTTTAGTTCCATTATTGTATTTGTATACATTTTTGCGCGTTTTCTAAAGAAAACGTAAGTGGTAAATGGGCTGTAGTGGTTGGATGTTATTCATGAACGGCACTTTTAACTTTTCAAATATCCCTTTCGTATCTTCAGAGGAAAAGTACACTGCGATCTATCCATACTCTGCACGCGATCAAGATGAAATAGATTTGGAGAGAGGCATGACTGTTGAGGTCATTCAGAAAAACTTGGAAGGCTGGTGGAAGATCAGGTAAAATCAAATGCAAATGTCCTCAGAAAAATACTTAACAGGCATTTTCTTGGAACATTCTCCCTTTTACCCCCATAGATACCAAGGAAAAGAGGGCTGGGCCCCGGCGTCCTATCTGAAGAAGGCTGATATCCTCAGTCAGAAGATGGCTGCTGGCGCTCCAGGTCATGCCAGCACTAATGACCTAGATGTGGCTTTCAAACAGCAGAATGCCAACAAGGAAAACAAGGAGAACCAGCGCGACCGATTTTCACCATTTTCAGAAAGCAAGCGCAGTAAGCAAAAATGTGTTTCATTGTAATCTAAAAAATTACAAGTATTTAAGGTCTGAATTTAGCTTTGTGAAATTATGTGGCATAGCAGACGGGCTGCATGAGAACACAAATTTACTCTCTGACAGTAGGTGGCGCTTATGAAACAGCAGTGATAGTGTTTCCTCAGTTATCGCTGTAAACATTGCATTGGAATTCATAAAAATGTTACTGGCCAACTGGTGATTGACAGTTTATTACACTCGCCAACAACAATTTTTACTCTCATTTGGTGCTTGGCGAGTTTTAATTTTAGGCTCTGGTTAATAAACTAAAGATTCCTCAAATATGCTGTCATTATTGCTAAATAATCCCCCAAAAAGCTATCAGGGCACCAAAGTGAAGCTGAGGTAAAAATAATACTAATGCATCCCTAGTTGTGTCATTCAAAAATATAAAGGCCTGTTTAGCCCCATTTACATGCTTGATTGTAGTGCACTCTCAGTGCTGGGTTGCATCAGGAAGGGTATCCAGCATTAAATAAAGATTGTGGCCCTCTAAATTCTGCCCTCTTCTCTTCTGCAGAAGCAGGAGCGCGACAGAGACCTCCACCACGCCGGGATCTTACAATAGTAAGGGTGATCATTTACAATTGCATCTCAAATATTTCTAATTCTTTCTTCAAGGTTCTACAGGGATGTGCTTCACATTTTTTATTTGGTCCAGTACTTTCCTGTGGAGTTTGGCTCCAAACTTGATCAAACTCGCCTGCCAGTAACTTTCTAGTAATCCTGAAGACCTTGATTAGTTTGTTCAGGTGTGTTTGATTAGGGTTGGAGCTAAACTCTGCAGGAAAGTTGACCTTGAGGCCAGAGTTGAGAACCCCTGATTTAGAAAATTGAGATGCCATTCAAGATGACTGAGTTTGATTGGTTGGAGGATAGAGGAGCGAGGAAACGAGGAAGCAACAATTTTAGGATTGAGAAGCACCCAAGATTTTGGCATCCTAACTCTTGGCCTGTCTCTTATTCTAGCCACGAGGAGTGAATCTACCTAAACCTCCAGTGCCCCCACAAGTAGAGGAGGAGTATTACACCATAGCTGACTTTCAGACGACCATCCCAGATGGCATTAGCTTCCAGGCAGGAGTGAAAGTTGAAGTGAGTATAACAGCAGACAAAGCGTCGGCTTTTATTTTTGACTAGTTCTCAAATGAACACATCTGAATATTCCACATGCATCTTGGCATTTACCTCGCATCTTGTACTCCCAGGTCATTGAGAAGAACTCTAGTGGCTGGTGGTACATTCAGATCGATGATAAAGAAGGCTGGGCTCCAGTCACATTCATTGATAAATACAAGAAAACCAACAATGCCTCTAGGCCTAACTTTTTGGCCCCGGTTCCTGGTGAGATGGGTCAACCGAAGCTTGATGATCCCTCAAGCAATAATGCCAACTCTGAGAATTGTTGGTCCAAACCTCTACCAGACGAACCTTCATCCAACTCTGATTTCTCCACCCGTTCCAAGCTGAGAGAATGGAAGCCCAATGCAGTTAAAGGCAGCTCCCATTTTTCAGTGCCCTTACCTCCTCCTCCATCCTCACCCACGGCTGAAGAGAAGCCAGCTTTACCGCCAAGGAGAGAATCCATCAACAAGAGCCTGGAACTGGAGGACAAACCCAAAGCAGACCTTTCTAAACCTCTCCCACCCAAACCACCAGCCCCAGGGGTCATCGTCCCATTGGTGACTCCAAAAGCAGCTCCGCTCAAGCCAGACAAACCCCCAGAGATAAAGAAGGAGGAGAAGAACAAGCAGCTCTACCTGCGCAATGAGATGGGCTTGGAGTGTGGCCACAACATCTCAGCCAAGGAGGTGAAAAAGTTCAACCTTAAGCATGTGGCAAAGCAGCCTCCCAAACCCAAAGCAGATTTGCAAGAAGACAAGCCGGATTCGGCCAGCCCAGCTCCGTTCCTCAAGCCGAAACCAGTGGTCAGACCAAAGCCCGCCCCTGCGGCCAAACCAGAGCCAGTGGCCAAGAATGAGCTGGACATCACAAACCTTCGGAGTAAGCTTCGTCCATCTAAACCTCCAGAGCTCAGCAGCAACTCGAGTGATCCCAATCAGCAGAGTGATACTCCCCCAAATAATGGCAGAACAAATGAAGAGTCAAAATCCCACAATAAACAACAAAACGGCCATGACCCATCAGAACCAACTAAACCACCAACAACAACAGCACCAAAAGAGCCTCCCCAGAGGCCTTCTGTGGCACCTAGAAGACCTCCTCCACCAAAGAAGAGTTCTGAGCCAGCCAGTTCTACAGACACCAGAGCTCCCCAAAAAGACTTGCCAGAGGCCAAGCTGGCTGTCCCTCCTCAGAGCAGACCCCCGCCGCCCAAAACGAAACCAAAAGACAAGGAGAAGGAAGAACCCAAGGCCAAAGTACCTGTGCCACCAAAGCCCCTCATTAAGACAGAAAAAGCAGGGCCTCCGAGAGACAAACTCCCACCTCTTATCAAGGATCCGGCTAAGGAGGAGCTGTTCTTAGCTGTGGCTGACTTTGAAGGAGACGAGCAGACACCTGGCTTTAAAGAGGGCGCTGTTTTCGAAGTTCTGGAGAGAAGTAGCGGCGGCTGGTGGTTTTGTAAAAATGTGAGCGATGGGCCAGTGATGGAGGGCTGGTTCCCTTCCAATTACCTGACCAAGAAACCTTAGGTACTCTTGACACAGCTGCTTAAAGAAAACTTATTTAATTAACATCTTTTATTTATGGGTACCTTTTTTTTAAATTACATTCCATCCTTTGCAAGTTCAAACAGGCCATAATAATTTGTTTGCTTGCTTTTTTGTAACTCTTTTCCCTTTTGGGGAAAACCATGTGTGCTTTCATATGTTAGCACTGAACATCAAGGCTCTTGCCTGTTCTTATATTAATCAAACCTTATATGTATTGCTAAAGGTTTAAGTGACTAGCAATATACAGTGGGTACGGAAAGTATTCAGACCCCCTTAAATTTTTCACTCTTTGTTATATTGCAGCCATTTGCTAAAATAATTTAAGTTAA